TAATAATAGTGCAGTTCAACATCTTGATCAACACATGCTGGTTTCAAAGCTATCCTCTCACATGTTTTTCTGTGTTCACAATGAATGCTTAAAAACTTCATTGTCCTCCTCTTATCAGCCTGTTCTCTCAATTCCTAGAGTAAATGATATCAATAGATAGATCTTTGTAGTCACTGGTGAACTTGCCCATCTCATGCTGGTTTTGTTTAGAGATTGTGATTATACAACAAACCAAAAGTTACTGGAGTGCTTAAATAAAGCAAGGAACTTAGTGAACATATTAAATTTCACATTATGAAAAAAAAGGGAAATAGTGGGCAGATTATGATCACTCAGTAACCTAAAATTCCAAGCTATTAAATGTACTTCATAAGTGTAAAATAGTAGCTCAGAAATGTCATTTATACAAAGTTAACCTTAAAGATTGTACATGATAATTACTATTTTGTGCTGCTGAACAGTTATTTGACTTTTTTCACATTCACTGTGTTATGTATAAAAGCAATAATAATAGTACATATCACTTATAGCTGTTATCTGACTTAAATGGAATTAGGTATCCATAGAGCTCATCAGTGTCTGAAACATTAGAAATGCTCAAAACTATAATTGTTTTCTCATAATAAATAGCATTTCCAAATCAAATATATGTGCAAAGAGTTTGCTGTGCGTGCCATTGAAAATAAGCAAAAACTGTATATTTTTGTCTGTCTAAAACCATAAAACATCAGATAGGAGAAAAATCACTTTCTACAAACATAAAAACTGACTATGCTCACAGGATGTAAAGTAGTGTAGAAAATAAATCCCTGATTTTGTTTTGATATGGCCAATTAGATGTTAGATACAGAAGAATTTGTCCATCCAGAGGAATATAATGGATCTTTTTTAACATTTAGCTTTGATTTTCTCATTGTAACTTGAACATCAATATCAGTCATAAGACAAAAAATGACCCATATATGCTGCTTCTAACAAATCATCCATTTCTATTGGTAGAACTTTAGACATGAGCAGATATGCCATTGTTTACTTCAGTTGCAAGGTTGTCAATCTGTCATTCCTTTTCAAATACTTTATTTTTATTTATTTTTTATGCGTATGAGTGTATTGCCTGCATTATGTAAGTGCACCCATATCATGAAGTGCCTGCAGAGGTTAGAAGAGGGCTTTGGATGTCCTAGAACTGGAGTTTTGGAAGGCTGTTAGCCTCCATGTGGGTGCTGGGAACCAAACCTGGTTCCTCTACAAGAGCAATCAGTGCTCTGAAGTGCTGAGTTATCTCTCAAACCCTTCTACTGGTAATCCTTGACAAAATAAAAGAAAATTTCTATAAATTATAATAAAAAAGCCTTCTTGTGCAAGTTGAGCTTCAAGTCGTATAAACATTGAACAAACAAATAAATATCACTTAAACATGGATGATCTGTGGCCACAGGTCATAAGCAGTTTGTGTTTTCATTAATGCAGACCAGCTGGCAAGATACCCTGCCAAGTCTCTTGGAAGACTGGATATAGAAATCATTATTTGCCAAGGTAGAAACTGACAAGATGGTTACAGTGATAAATTGGCACACATGGAGTTCGTAGATAATGAATTAAAAGTTTTATTACACTAAAATATGCTTAATGTTCACATGATTTGATGAATTTTTTGGCATTTTAGTAAATCTATGTCAACTATATTATGAATAATTCCATCAAGAAATCTAAGGTTAAAAATAGTTCAAATCATATGAAATTATCCTAGAAAATGCTACAAGGAATCTTTGAAACACTACACAAGATGCATACCATGTGGAATAGTCAGAATTATGAGTGTTCCTTGAAAGGTAATGATAACCACCAATCTTCCAAAATATCATTAAGAAATTTAAAAGAAGGCAGATGAAGAAGGAATTCATTTTCTTATTTTTAATATTTGTGTTGAGATTTTGTGCATATCATACAATAGTTGTTAATTAAATTCAGGCCTCTCTCCCGCACCCTTGTCCCCCATGCCACCCTGTTGGATCTCATGCATTCTGTCATATATGTTAAGTCCTATTTGGTCATGCATTCATAACCAGAGGTCCATCCATGCAAGTTCATTCACTGAAGTCTAGTCAGCCTATCTAGAGTCAGTCCCTTAAAAAAGATCTACTCTCCCTCACCTAGTATTGATCAGTTGCCAACAGTTCCCAGGCTGGTCTGAGGTCTGGCACCCATTCTTCACTCCACATTGGGCCCTGATTGAGTTGGCATGGGTTTTGTGTACAATACCGCCATCGCCTCAAGTTCACATGAACATGTTTCTATTGGCCTGAAAGCCTGTGGCTCTGTTTATGAACCAACCTTGGTTCTTACAACCTTTCCAACACCTCTTCCACAATGGTCCCTGAGCTGTGGGTGGGTGAGTTTTAATACAGGAGTCCTATCCAGGAACATTCACTCTGCAGGCTCTTGTTCTCTAAAATTTAGATGATTGTGTTGTTCTGTGTGCATCACACTTTATTGTATGAGGAAGCTTTGATGATGAGAATTGAGGAATGTATTAGTATTCTCTCTACCCACTGTTCCACTGTGCTCCATGGGCCTAAGGTATAGAGGTTAAATTGGAAATGTGTCCCTTAGGGCTTGGCATCTCTCAGATATACATTATCTGTGTGTGACTATTTGTGGAATTCTATAATAGCCTCCATATTTTGAAAAAAGAAACTTCTTTGATGATGTACAGTGCACATATCTATAAATACGAGGATTCATATTTAGCCTACAGTATGAAATTTCATTTGTCTAGAGATATTGCAGAGATAGCATTTTCTCTAGGATCTATGCCCTCTCCATTCACGTCTATTTGACTCTAATTACACCCATGAGTTCTCTCCCACTGAGAGGGCTTTAAGTTCAGTTACATAGCTGTTAATTACCACCACCACCTCACAAAACAGTGCCACTATTCTACCAACAGAGGTAGTTTCCTGTGCCAGTCATTGCATTTAGTCTTTAGGGCTGGATTGGGCCGTGGATTGTGTTCTTCCCTTAGCAGCTGCATAGTATCCTCTAGAACTATGAGAGCTCATCTTCAGGTAGAAGGCTTCCAGGTCAGTTCCAGGTTCCTTGCTCCAAGACTTGTGTCTGAAGAATGTCATGTTTTCAGCAATAGGGTCTTACTTTCAAGTTCTTGGTGATAACCAAGGGCTCCAGCAATAGCCTGTGTTATTTTGGGATTCTCTTGGACTACTCTGACCAACCACTGAAGGGAAGCCCCTCTTGTCTGCCACTGTGATCCTTGCCATACAACCCCCAGATATACACAGGCCCTAATGTTCAAATCCTGTATGTGGATTTCTCAGGGTGTTTCAGAACCAGCACTTTCCCTCTGGCATTGCACTCCACTCAAACTCCATTCATCTCTCTTCTCTCTCCCCCTGCCTAACCTCCCTCCTCCCTCCCTAGTCCAGGCACTTTAATTTTCCTCACCCTATCCCCCATAACGCTCACCTCCTACCTGTGCTGTTGAATTTTAATTGTTCTTTATACATTGCAAATTTAGTTTTATGAGAGATAAGCATTCCACAAATATGTTCTTCCAGTGCCTTTTCAACATCTTAATAGAATGATTCGAGGAGAGAAATAGTTTTAATGGACTTTATCTCACCAGAAGTTCTTTTTTATTTATTGGATAATTGACAAATTCATACAATATATATTGATCATATTTAGATCACCTTCACTACTTGTATCCATCTTACTGCTCCCCCACCCAATTTCATGAACTGGGACATACATATGCAAATTTGTGTGCTCAAATTCTCTTCAGTGTGGGTTTATTCACTGGAGCCTTGTCAACCTATGAGCCTCACCCTTAAATGAGATTGACTTACCCTCCCAGTAGCCACTGTTTGCAAATGCTTTCTCAAGTAGCTTTGGGGTTTCTTACCCACTTCCTCATGTTGCTGCTGGAATTTTATCTGACTTGGGCTTACATGGTACTTGTGCATGTTGTCAACATCGCTGTGAGTTCATATGAGTATTTACCCAACTGTCTGCAAAACTCTATTTTCTTGTGCTCATAAACCACCTCTGGGTCTTACAGTCTTTCTGCCCTGTTGTTCACAATAATCACTGAGCCTTGGGAGGTAGAAGTAGGTTTTCTGATGAGAGTTGAGTGGTGTATTAATCTATGGGAATAGCAATAAGTTATTAGGTGTTGGTTTAGTATTATATCTATTTACCAAAATAATAGTATTAGGTTCTCCCCTATGGCCTGTGACCAGTTTAGTTACAGGTTCCTAGGACTGATATAACACAGTTTCTTTTTATGCATGATAATTTTAGTATCATCTATATGACCTCATTGTCTAAAATTAAATCTCAAAAACTTTCTCCTGGGGCTGGAGAAGTGGCTCAGCAGTTAAAAGCACAGAGGTTAAAAGTGGGTGTGGTGATGCATGCCTTTAATCCCACCACTCAGGAGGCAGAGGCAGGCAGATCTCTGTGTGTTTGAGGCCAACCTGGTCTACATAACAAGTTCCAGGCCAGCTGGGGATATAGGGAGACCCTGTCTCAAAAAAAGCACTGACATCTCTTAAAGAAGACCCAGGTTCAATTCCAAGCATTCACATGGTGCATAACAACCACCTGTAACTGTAGTTCCAGAGTATCTGATGCTTTTTCCTGACTTCTGTGTGCACTGCACAACATGGGTGCACTTATACACATGCAGGCAAACACAATCGTACACATAAAATAAAAGTAATAAATAAAAAATTTTGCCCTATATTTCTTTTTTTTCTTTTTGAAGCTTTCACAATTTTATTAGAATTTAAAGAAAAATTCTCAGGGCAAGTGAGCTGGTAATCTTGAAAGCTGCCTTGAGGAGGTGAATGGTGGGGAGAAGGGAAGAAAGCCATGAAGCCATGCAGGTTTAGAACCTACATTGGTAAAATGCTTTCAGTGCAAGCAACAGGATGTGAGATTGATCTTCTGAACCCATGTAAAAAATCCAGATGTTGTGCTTTCTTCAGCAGAAGATACACTAAATTGGAATGATACAGAGAAGATTAGCATGGTTCTTATATGAGGATGACACACAAATTCCTGAAGTCTTTCATGTTTTAAGGATGTTAGATTAATGAATTGTCTTATCATTAAAAAAAATACAGCTGTTCTGGGTTGGTCCATGAACATAGGGAAGCAAAGTCTTTCAGGCCACTGGAAGCTTGCACATGTGAATTTAGGGCAATTGTGGAGT